GGTACAGAGGCTGCACGTAGGGTGTGCACACTGGCACATGCCTGTGGCACACAGACCGGCACATGCCTGGTACAGAGGCTGCACGTAGGGTGTGCACACTAGAACATGCCTGTGGCACACAGGCGGTGCAGAGCGGACCCGCAGACACACATGCATGTGCCACGTGGCACACAGACTGGGCAGGCAGGCCACAGACAGGCACATGCACCCCGCTACCAGCTCAGCTCCCTAGCAAGCTCCCAGCGCCCCCCCAGCTGGAAACACCCCGCAAGGCCCTTCCCCGAGACAGCCGATTCCCGGGGCCCCGCGCCGGGCCGCCCACTCACCTGCGCGCCGAGCCTGGCACTGCGCGGGCAGCGGCGGCGGGAAAGCGCCAGAGTTGGCGGAAAATCTCACTGCGCCCAGCGCGAGGGGGGCGGGGAGCAGGTGCTCTCCTCCAGCCTGCCCGGCCCAGACCCGGGGGGGGGGAGCCCAGGCAGGAGGGGGTTAACAGTGACTCCCTTCCCCTGGGACACGTCCCTCCCCGTCCCACCCCAGGAGCAGCAGCTGATCAGCCCCCAGGGGCCCGCCCTGCCTCTGCATGGGGCTGCCAATCGCCCCCCCAGGCAGAGAGCGCCTCTTGCAGCCACGCAGGGGTGCAGGCCGGAGGGGGAGAGGGGGGGTTAGCTGGCTTTGGAGAGGCGGTGCAAAGTAACGCACCAGCTGTTGCATCCGTTTTGTTGCACGAGCGAAAAGTGCCCCTGGCTCCTCCTTTGCTCCGGGGCAGGACGGGCCCTGAAGGGAAAGACGCGGCGCCCCTTCGCAGGCTGGCTGGGGAAGCTCAAGCGAACACCCCCAGACTTCAACGGGGGGGCTTTGCAGAACCGGCAGCTAACTTCTCGCCTTCGTTTGAAACTTCCGGATGCGCCCCCGCCAAGCTCTCTGCAGGGCGAACCAGGCAGATGCTGTTTGGGGGGGGGGGTCCCCCGGTGCATTGTAAAAATAAAACACTGAGCTGCGCTGAAAAGCGGGACCCCCCCCTGGAAGGGGCACTGCCCAGTTCCCTTCCCACGGGAACGCCCTTCCCGGGGTTACCAAACCCCCCCCCCCCCAGTATTAGAATTGTGAAGGGGGCGGGGAACAGCAGATGCGTTTTGTAATTGGGCGGCGTGTTTCCTTTCAATGTGTTTCCCACCCCATAGGTTAGGGTTACCATATTTGAACTTTCAAAAAAGAG